TGATTATAGAGCTACAGACGTAACTGAACGCAATCTAATGGAATTATTTCATGAACTGCAGAATAAATCACCATATGAACATGATATTGAGTTCTCCCGTAGATATGGGTCGGTAAAATTGCTAATGGGAAAAATATTAAGTTGGAATGATTATGTACAAAACTACTCCCAAGATTGTGATAAAGCTTGGCTAAGCACGGAAGGTGTTAAAGTGCACTTTTTATCTTCTGATGAGATATTTTCGATGCAAAATACTGCTACTAATAGTAATTGGCAAAATTTTTTTGATGTTATATTTGTGGGTTCCAACTATTTTTCGTTCCTAAAAAAAGAATTATCTACAATAATGAATAAAAATGCGTTATTACTCTTAGAAACAAAGTTACGCACTGTAGAGAGAAAGGAAAATGTCGCTGAATATGAAAAGAAATTGAAGGATTTCGCTAAAACTATTAATTTGGCTCCAGTTATCAATTATAATGCGATTAATGGGAAAAACTCAATTTTGAAATTTAAAAAAGTTAATTGACTGTTTTTTTTATTTAGTACTATACTTTAACATATACATATAATATATTTAGGTACTACTCTCTATTAAAACAAATCTCTATTATCAAATCTCTATTATTAAACTCTTTTAAAGTTTATTTCAAATAAAAATTATTGCATGCATTGTAACAATATTACGTGTTTTAGTTATTTATTTTAAAAAATAATCATATCGCTATTTTGAAACGATATTAGGGTCCATATTAATATTCCTTTAAGAAAATTTCAAACAGAAAATGGAAGAGTTATAGAATCAATAAAACAAAAATGGAAGAAGTCATGTTTTTACAAGATTTGATGTTATTCCGACGCGTCTAACAATTGTGGAACCCATGTCTGAGGTACATAAACCGCAATAGGATATCCTATTCCTTTGTATTAGAACTTTGTGTATTACACTTCTAATATTAATTATTACATTTACAAAGCTCTGTTATTGAAGAACACTGATTGCTTCACTACTGTACTAAGGTACTAGTCCATGAAGTAGTTTTTATGTTCTATATAATGTCATTTTATTTTTATCTCTCGCTAACTAATGCTTTCTTTGACGTATGTCGTACAAATTGGTTACATCCTGAATTATACATATTTAATAGTGATAACACTATTGGAAAGTAAACTTGTTCAAAAATTGTGATGATAATTAATATGATAAATAGTCCAAAGGATCAAATGATATACAGTTGTATGCAGTAATAGGTCATAAAGTGGTTTTTATATTCTCTACTATGTTATTTTATTTTACACAAATGTAGACAAGGTGATTCTAACTGGTTTTGTCGTTTGCTCTTACATTTTGAAACAATATACATATACATATATATGCGGACACGCTTACGATCAAAGAATAAAATAATTCTAGTCTTGTGACGCACTTATAAAAAGATTCACAAATACTGGATTAAACAAAAAGCAGAAGAGGAACATAATCTAGATAATAACAGTAATGAATTTCCTCGCTATTACATAGTTCGTTAACAAAGTGAACCAAGTAAGGTTCTACAAAAAAGGGCTCACAACAACACTCCTTACCAAATATCTAGAAACTATTTTCAAGTAACTTTAACTTGGAAGTGTTAAAATTTTCTATTACATATTTATGTTGTATATATAACTATTTTAAAACTATTTAAAAATTTTAATAAATCAAACGAGGTTACTATACTTATAAAACTATTTATTTTTTTTAATTCATAGTAATTACCTTAAAATAGTCGCTGATGAGCTCCATACTGTAATTCAGTACCAGCCATTCGAATTTTTTGGAGTCATGATTTCTTGAAATGTGTAAAATTTCATTTTGCTTTATTTTTGTTGTGTTTTAAAAAACTTGTGAAGATTCCCTCGTCATATAATAATATATTGTATTTGATATCATGTAATAGCTCTGTGCCAAATTTTATTATTTAATTAGCTTTGCATTGAAAGTGTTCATTTTATATATTTTAAGTTGAATTTAATTTATTTATTTTCGTATATATTTTTAATAGATTTACACTTGTTATAGTTCAATGTGATATATATTTATGTTTAATGTTTTAAAGGAACTGCATTAAAATGTTTAAAAAATATGTCACGATATTTTTAAGTTTGTAATGTAAGAGTTTATGATTATTGTATATTATTTCAATATATTTTTATATTATATTACTGATCGTATAACTAATATTGACATATATATGGTTTGATCACAAAAAAAGAGAAGTTTGGATTGCTTTTAGATTTAATCAAGAATCAGTTGTACAAAAAGCCATTGCGTTACAAAAACCATAGAACTAAAGTAAAATATGCAACGTTGTCATCATCAGATATTATGTATCGAAATTCAAACAGCTTTACAATATACAAAATTGTACTGCAGTAATTAATTAAAATCTCAAATTTTTTCGTCTCATTGTTTAACTTTTAATTGCTTAATAAATTTGTTACACATTATAGTTCTAACTATTTTTGTTTCTCTTCTTTGAAGCCCATGTATTTAAATTAAATTCCATATTATCTTTAAATACACGTACTTTGTTGTCATTACGGTTACTGTTATTATTGTCAAAATCGTCTTCATCCAATATACCTCTGGTCCGTATATTGAATTGATTTGCACGCTTATTTAAAAATTTTCTGTTCTGTGTTTGTTCCATTTCAATATTGACAACTTTACGCCTTGGTACATGTGAGAGCGCTTTCATCCAATCGCCAGTTTTTTTAATATCCAACATAATACTAACCATTTGATTGAGAGTTAATGATTTCCCTGAACCGGCTCCCCACTGTAAATAATGTTCGAGTGGTAGACGCGCCATACGTAAACCCAATTTTTTAGCTTTTGCTAACGAAAGTGGCTCATTGTTAGACTGAAATTTAAATAATAATTATTTACATGCATATATAAAATCTAATAAAGATATTCACAAACCAGAGTAACAAACTCAGTAATAGAGTAACATTGTAACAATGCAAAATGGTAACGATAAAGATATATCGAGAAAATATGTTTTATTGGTGAAATCTTAAACCCAAGCCACGATTATGCTTCAATAGCTAGAAATACCAAAAAAGGAATTACCCAAATCCATTTTCTGTATTACTGCGTGCGACTAAGCTGCAGTCAGTGGCTACTGTATTTTATATAATTGAACTTTGTGTTAGGCGTTGAACTAAGTTTCTCGATTACCAAACTGATTCTTACTCATATTTGTGAATACCACTATTATGCTTAAAATTGGAATTATTTTATACCGTATCAACCATGGCCCCAATTATATATATATCATCAGGATTATATTCGTTTAAGTCGTTCCGACAATGTGGTGTTAAATATACTAAATTTTCTTTTGGAAATATTTCTGTGAAACATTTTTCATGAACATTCATTGGAAAATCCTGATGCATCATTGTAGGTATGTAACGTTGCAGACTTGACATACAAACACTATTTATATTGGCACCACAAAAGTGCAAATCAAATGGTTCGTCATGTAAGCGATTTTCTGCAAAACTTATCATTAACTGTTTTGAAGCATTAATAGCTTCTCTTTTGGTCATGTGTCGGTCGTACGAACAATCCATAATTAACTTCGGTGAGTATTGCATAGCACTTACAAGTCTAGAAATAAAAAACAAGAATTTTTAATAGCACAATTTTTAAAAATATATTATATGTATATATACCAGTACCTGTTATTCATCCAATGATTTATTGTGGAATCATATATACGCAGGAAAAATGAACAATTATTTAATCCATAAATTATATGATTATTTTCTTCGTTCTGGCGTAATATATCTTCTCTACGCTTTTGTATTTCTACCGCTCGTTCTTCTTTTTTTCTTTGCTTAGATTCACTTTTTACCTGTATTTGCCATAAATAGGCATAATACCGAGATCGTGCTGATTTGGTTGGTAATGTTAAAATATGTTCCCAATGTTTATCTTCAAAAAACTCTAAAGATGGTACACGTCGACCTTCTTGATTTGCAATATCTACTTCCAATTTTAGAACTTTTAATCTACGTTCACGTTCCTCATCCGATATAACTGGGGCTGCGGGTTCACTGCTTTGTTTTTGCGGGTGCTTATCCCCAAATGGGTTTTTAAAATTTTGTACTATGGTCTGTGTTTCTTTATTTTCTTCTTTAATTATATTTATTTTATTTGTTTCTAACTCTATAGTATGATTAGTTATGTTTTGAGTTAAGGCTGCATTAGCTGCTAAAGAACCTGTCACTTTCTGTACTTTTAATTCATCTGCAGTTTCGTCCTTCTGTTTCAGTGCTGCTGAATTTTTTACTTCTGTTGTAAGTGCCCGTTTATATATTCTGACAGCATTTATAAATACTTTTCGTTGATTTGATATTGGACTTAGTCCAGTTACATTAAAAACAGCCTTTAACATTTTATTATTTAAATCATGAACATTTGAACGTGCGGTAATAACACAAAGAATAACCTCAAATTCTGTTATTACTAAAAACAGCTGTGCGTGTGTTCAGTGAGTGACACTTCAAAATCATATGTTCAAAAGGAAATTTAGTAACTCCAAGAATATAACAATAGAATCAACAGTATAAATTAATTCTACATAATTTCATATATAGTATATAAATAATATAATAAATTTAAATAAAAAAATTCACGTCGTTATATTAATATAAGTACAATATATAAAGCATAAATACATTATTTCTACACGTCAGTTCTTAGGTTCGTTTCGTACACAACACTCTTTTTACCGTACGGCAACCGTTTATCTACTCACTAAACGTATGCCAATGGATGCATTTATATACGGCGCGGTGTTCATCGCATGTGTGTGTGCTTTTATTTTTGCTGGCGGTTTTTGTGTTTGCATAGACATTCAGTGAATTTTATTATTAAAATAGTGTTTTTATTACGTATAAGTAAAAAATTAATTTTTTTAAATAAAAAACAGTTTTAGTTATAAAAAAAATCTAAAGTTAAAGGTGACGAGAGAAACCTGAAGCGACCGAAGTGTTAATAAGCGAAAAAAAGTAATGAAACAAGATTGTTAAACTTCTTACATTACCTGCGATTATTATTATGAATAAAATTGATACAGTATTATTAATACAAGAAGTGTCATTGAAACCTGTGCTATGGGATAAATATCAGTCTAGCTATAAAGGCAGAAATGCTACAAAATATGCATGGCGCGAAGTGTGCAGAAAGCTCAACCCAAAGTTTGGAGAACTTAAAACCATAGATCAAGATGCATTTTGTAAGCAAATTAATATAAAAAACATATTAAATTATTATCATTATAATCAACATTGTTATCATTCATTTTATGAATATTATTCTTTTTGTTAAGCTTATTATTTATAGTAATATTGTTTCATGAATACAAAATATTTCATGAATATTATTCTTTTTGTTAAGACTATTATTTATATTAATATTACTTATTATTGTTGACATGTTCTAACATTACGGCCGTGTGCGAGTTCGAGTAAATTGAGGTAAAGTAAATTGAAATTTACTAGGGACGTTTTGCACTGCAGTAATGTAATATATATCTCACAAGTCTCGGTTTCTAACTACATATATGTTTTAACTAATTAAATGTTTTATTCGTTTCGTTTTATTAACGCTTCTACGCCATGTCATCTTGGGGTGTCCTCTGTTTCTTGCACGTTGGGGGTTCCATTGTGGGGCTACATGTACTATTTCGTTTGCGTCCTTCCAAAGGATATGTCCAATCCACTTGTACTTCCTGCGCGCTATTTCATTCTCAATAGGAATTTGTTTAGATATTTGCCACTAGCAAGCATTACTTATCATACGGGGCTACCAAATACCGATTATACGTCGTAAACTTCTATTTACTGCCGTAGATAAGCACTGAATTAAATATTTGAATTTTGATTTCTCGTTTTATTGTTTTATTTGACCATACATTGGAAAACCCTGAGAAGGTACCAATAACAACCGCTTTTCTTTGCTTTATATCTGTATACATATATTTTAAACTGATAAACGTTTGAAAAACGTCGGAAGTATGGCTATCATCGCTTCGGTATCTGCTTTGAAAAATACCGCGGATATGCTATCGTTATCAACAGCTTTTCCGTCTTTCATTGCTTTAATTGCCGCTGTAAGTTCTGATGAAGTAGGTGCTGTATTTATATACCTATTATATACCTATTGTCGTCTCGTTCGAATTTCGATTCTCCCAACACTGTCGTCGTGTATTGTGTTCAATGTTTATCTAGGTTGTACTTTACCTTAAGTTATCCTCTGTATACAGTAACATAATGGGCCAATAGATCTAAATGGATTCCTTAGGAAACACCGATATAATCTCACCTAACCTAATAGGATGGAATTCTTTATAAATGTTAAATTGATGTGAATTTCTTGTACAAATTTTTAGAAATGAAAGTAATTTCAAACTAAATCACAATTCCTTCGTAAATGAAACACATTTCTCTCTTAATACAGATAAATAATTTTGGATATAATTCTATTACTACTGCACTATTTTATTAGTTTTAAGTACAGTGAATGTCAGTAAAACTAGAAGAATTTGCAATATATAATTTTTAGAAAGAATATTTGTAAAATATTGTAAATTTAATTTATACAATTTAATTTTTATTTTATTTTAGTTGCAGAAGTAATCAAGAAATGGACTAACCTTAGAGACTCCTATTTAAAGTATAAGAAAAAACTGAAAGTGAATACAAAAAATGGATCTTTAAGAATAAAAATGAAAAAGTATATATATGCTGATCAGCTGGAATTTCTAACCCCAATTTTTAATCAATCAAATATAAATGAAAATAAAAAGATTAATAAAGAAAAAGATCATACAACGACAGAAGCTGAAGATTCAATTTCTGATTTAAAAATTTCAAAACCATCAACAATCACCAAAAATAAAATAAAAATTAAAAAAAATATCAAAACTTATGACAAAGTTTTGAAAGATACAGAGGAGGAAAAACCCTGTAGTAAAATGGCTTTCTTACAAAGTCTCATGCCTCATCTGGAAAAATTTAATAATACAGAATTCCTGCAATTTCAAATGGGAACTTTAAAAGTTATAGAAATTATATATAAAACAAACTCCCAGCAAGTTCCAACATATTTTCAATCAAATTTCATCAATGAACCCTCTTCTTCTGTCCAATTCATCACACCTGATCATATTGAGCCTTTATCAGTGACAAATGTAGAACCTATATCCATATCACCTATAATTTCTGGAGATAGTCACCAAGCTTATTGTTTTGATGAGAATTCCGCCTTGAAAGATGAGGATGACAGTATTGATATTAATATGTTAATCTAAATTTAAATAAGTTTATTTTAATTTTATTGATTTCTTAAAGTCTTGAACAAACTGTATACAAATTAATTTAAAATTTAAGATCACCATTCTGTAATGATCACGTAATGATAATAAAACAAAACTGTGTTATATTCAAAGTCTTAATAAAGTGTTTGAATTTATATTTAACTCAAAGTAAAGTTCCAACAGTAAAAGACATCAAACAAAGAATGGTGCACTCTATTTATACCGGTACTGTTTTTTTTTCCACTAAGCTCTTATCCTTCAACTTTTTTTCTTCATTAATTAAAACTTAAGAACATCAATTAAAAATTCTATCATCCAAATACGGTTCTATTACTTATTTCATTAATTGTGCAATAAACATCCAAGCAATTTCTTCCGTTATAATTCAACTTGTGTAACCTGTAGAAATAATAATCACCAGAACAAACCTTAATAGGATTTGAGCTCAGGGTCTGTGCGCTGTAGTTCTAGTACGCACGCACCATGCGATTAGGGTCTTCCTACCCCAAACCATGCTTGTGTTGAGAAAAAACTGAAACCGATCAGGGTCATGTTCAAGAAACCTGGTCACTTTAATGAAGCGGAACTTTAGGTAAATAGCGTTTGAATTTATGTATATTTGAAGAAAAAAATATATGGAAAATGTATCATTAAAAATTAATATATATCAAAAACCATGTAGTGTGCAAGTAACCAAAATATTAACATAAATAAATATAAACTATCTTCACAAACTTTTTTATTTTTGCTAACTTTTTTATTTTATTTTATTAAATATTTTAATTAAATGATAGGTAATTAAAAAAATTCAAAATAAATTACATTAATCAAATTAAGATTTGGTCGTTTCCATATGCATAAGTTAATTTACTCACGTTAAGGAACTTTTTTGTGTCAGAAAGTTTTGTGAAAGAGCAAGGAGAGCTATTGTTTGTTTACATTTCAATTGTTAGCAGTTAACATTTAGTTTTGTATTGTTATCCGAAATTAATTAATTGATCACGGAAGATGCAGAAAATGCTAAAAGGTTGTGTAATATATTTATTTATGAAAAACTAAACATTTTAAAAAATTCTTATCTCGGTTTGTTTTTGTTTATTTACATTTCGTTTCATGTGTCAAATATTTCAAATTTCGATCATTTTCGTTTTGGGAAATATATTTTGATTTCCTATAATTTATTCTTATTTAAGTTAGAAAGCACAAAAGCTCTTTGTACGGATAATCAAATAAACAGATTTAACGAAGGAAAATACTTTGATTAAACAATAATTAGTGTAGAGTATTTCTATACTCTTCAAATGAAAGCATAAAGTTAAAAATCAGAACATAATCATATATTCTCTATGTGAAAATGATTTTAAATGATCAGATTTGTACTGATTGTGTTTTTAAACCTTTTTGCTTAAATAAACTACAAACTACAAATTTTTTTTAACTAGAACAAGTTTTGAAATTGATTTTTTTTAATTTTGAGCAATTTTTAATTAATTAATTAATTAATTTTTAATTAATTAAAATTTAAATAAGTTTTATATAACATAAAAAAAATAGTTCAACTTCACAAACTATCTTCACAAACTAATCTTTGGGTATTAAATCACGAAACAGTCAAATTTAAGTACATACAAGAACAGACATATCTTATAATTGTTCTAATTAGACGGACTTATAGCATTTTTATTGGGACATGATTATAATTGCTACAGAAATATTGAGCTTATTGCAAAAATACGTTAATTATGATAACATGAACTTACTGTAAATATCAGCAACTCTTAAATGCTGTGAAAATTATACCACAATTATCTTAAAATATAGCCAATGTAAATGTAATTTAAATTTTGTGTATAATACCGTTTTCGATTATTAAATCTAAATGTGCATCCACACTGAAGCGAACGCACGAACTTTTGCAGGTACGATTACCTGCGAACGTTCATTCGTTCGCAAGTGTTGTCGAGCGGAATATATAACAGTTGAGATTAATTTATAGCACTCTAAATATTTTCTCATAGTCGCAAAATTAACTTGAAATTAACAGCTGCTATATGTGACATCCGTAGGGACCTCAAGATTGATCCCATCAAAAAATACATGAAGGATAGAGCCTTGAAATTATTTGCGAATACTGACAGATTTACCAACACCGCGTTATCAAATCTCAGAATTGTTACAGGTTCCTCGGGGAGGCTTAGTCTGATGAAGTGATAAACAATAATCCAGTCAAAGCATAAAGAGGGGTTTTGAAAATACCTCGAGTTAGGAAAGAGTAAAAGTGCTCAAGTGCACTGGCTCAAAGAGCTTCAACATAATAATATATGACTTCACAAATATAATGTAATTTGATTATCATATATATTTATGAGAAAATAAATGCCTACAAACGCAATTGGGAAACAAAATTTTGGTAGATCAAAAGTAAATCAAAATTGAATCTAGATTTACCACTTGAAAACCCCATAAATTTATTGGTTCGACATGCTTACATTGGAAAATTGGCCTCAAATAAGTAATTATTTACTGAACACTTTTTCAATAATACTACTTTCCATGTATTGAACATACCCAATCGAAACTGACAAATAAAAAGCGGCAGCTATAAGTTGTCAAATTCGATCAACAAACTCGCTAAGCACGTCTAGTTATTGAAAAATTGTGTAAAAATAAATAAATAAATTGGTTTGTTAAGTAATTATTATATTAATTATAAAAACTTTATCTCAAAATGGCATTGATCTGTGCGAGTAAGTAGTTTACATTCTTGAACTTACGTTAGTGAGGTTATGAAGCTTAATTTACTTTCAATTTATATACAATATAAATTAATTATTTTTTAGTTACAAATGAAGTTCCAGATACACCAGTTCTATCTCCCATCTCAGGGGCGGTTTTCGAAAGACGCATTATAGAAAAATATATATTGGAAAATGGTTGTGATCCAATAACCGGCAAAGAAATGAAAGCGGCAGAATTGATTGAAATAAAAACACCACCAATTGTTAAGCCAAAGCCGCCAAGTGCTACTAGTATCCCTGCTACATTGAAAACTATGCAAGATGAATGGGATGCATTAATGCTGCATGCATTCACACAACGTCAGCAATTACAAACTGCACGTCAAGAACTTTCCCATGCACTTTACCAACATGATGCTGCTTGCAGAGTTATAGCACGTTTGAATAAGGAAGTAGCAGCTGCACGTGAAGCTTTGGCTACACTTAAACCACAAGCTGGTATTGGTGCATCAACAGCTCCAACAACAATACCACAACCAGCAATTGCATCCGAAGCTGCTGGTGTTGCTACACATCCGGTTGAACAAGCTGGCATGAGTGCAGAAGTCATACAAAAATTACAAGACAAAGCCACGGTATTAACACAGGAACGTAAAAAACGTGGTCGTACCGTACCCGAAGATTTAGTTACGCAAGATCAAATTAAATCATTTTTGACAATTGCTTCTCATCCAGGTTTGCACTCAGCATCTGTGCCTGGCATTTTAGCTTTGGATATTAATAGTTCTGATCATAGTAAAATCTTAACTGGAGGTAACGATAAAAATGCTACTGTTTTTAATAAGGATACGGAACAAGTTGTGGCCATACTTAAAGGACATACTAAAAAAATTAGTAAAGTCATTTATCATCCAGATGAAGATACTGTTATAACTGGTTCGCCAGATATGTCTATACGTATTTGGCATGTACCAACTTCGCAGACACAACTTTTGCTACGTTGTCATGATGGTCCGGTGACAGGACTATCATTGCATCCAACAGGAGACTATGTATTATCGACTTCTTCAGATAAACACTGGGCCTTTTCAGATATACGTACTGGACGTTTGTTGACTAAAGTAAAATATTTTATTATATCACTTAATAAGGAGTAACTTTTGCTAATTGAATGTTGTTTTTTTTTTTAAGGTTATTGATACTGCTGAAGTGGGCTTAACAACAGCACAATTTCACCCTGATGGCCTCATTTTTGGTACGGGAACCGATGATTCACAAGTAAAAATTTGGGATTTAAAGGAACAAAGTAATGTTGCTAACTTTCCTGGACATACTGGCCCAATATCGGCTATATCATTCTCTGAGAACGGTTATTATTTGGCAACAGCTGCTGATGATGCTTGTGTGAAACTCTGGGATTTACGTAAATTAAAAAATTTCAAAACTATACAACTGGATGATGGCTACGAGGTTAAGGACTTATGTTTCGATCAGAGTGGTACATATCTTGCTATTGCCGGTACAGATGTTAGGTGAGTAATACGTTTTTAAGTTTTAATCAGCAAAAATATATTTTTAAGCCTAATTTTACATATATTTTATCTCAATTAAAAGTGAAATCCAAAATAAACTTTTAAAATGTCTTCAAAAAACATTGGAAACGCTATAGATATTAGTTAGGATTATTCTGCGCGGCATGCTTTTTGAAATGGTCTAGCCAATTTTCCATACGATTTTCTTTAGCTAAGGCGCGTCTTGAATTTTCTTTCTCCATTCTGATGCGACGACGTTCTTCCGCTTCAACCTTCTGCACCAGCTCAGGTGGATACTTATCAAGTTTATTAAGCAACAACTGTAAAGTTTATTTTATGTTAAAAGAAAATATTTTCTCAAGCAAAATGTTAGGGGTATTCACGATCTCACGCAACGAGATCGGTAACTGAGTAACATAGTAACAGTGCAAAGCATCGCTATTATTTATATACGAATATTCGAAATAGATTTCGAATATATGTATTTTGTTATTAGCAGTTTGCAATATTACCGTGTTACGCTAACACCGACCACGTTACTCGATATTGTGCATACCCTCCTCATGGTAACTTACCAATAAATGTTCTTGTATTTTCTGCACTTGTTCTAAAGAGGCAATTTGAGGATACTCAGTTTCACAAGAATCACTTGGTAACGTTTCCGTTTCTACTTCTGGCTTATCCATAACTTCTTTAGTTTTATTATCTTTTCTTATCGTGTCTTCAATGCTTTTAAGTAGTACAGGTACAACAGCGTTTAATCTCAAGGACATTTTACTAACAAATAAAAGGATGAGATATAATCTGATAAATGTTATACATAACTTACTCTTCTTTGTATGCCTTATCGAAGTTGTCAACTGCAATATTTGTCAATTGCTTCAAAGTATCAGCACGTGCTTGTATCAATGCTGCATCCTTAGCAAATATAGGACTTTCAACAGCCTCATCATATTGTTTTTTCTTCAAGCAAATATATATTTTTATTAACAACTAAATGTTACTAACAAACAGTAAGTTTACTAAATTACTTACAAATTTATAATGTATCATCTTGACTCTAAGATTCAGTAGACCCAAATTCATGACACGACTATTAAAATTAAATATTTTTTGTCGCATTTTCTCATAGCCCTTAAGTACAATATATATATATTAATTGAAATTGATTAAGTAAAGTACATAGGTAGATTTACATTGATCCATATGCTAGGAGTTAAGTAACGTTTTTCAGCCAAATACGGTCGTACGATCTGATTCATATACAGTTCCAATTCCTTGGCTTCTTTTTTACCTGCAATATGCTTTTCAGAAATCTCCATATTTGTTATTTCTGCTGGTTTGATTAACTTCGCTTTTTCAGCATCGATATTAACATCTCGAGAAGCTAATGCTTCTTCGTCTTCAATGTTATCGAAGTAACTCTAAAAATTTATAATTGTATTTAATATTACTTAATAATAATTATGAGTTCTTATAATTTACAATCTTTTTTAAACCAGATAAAAACGTTCTATAATCATCCTGTGTTTCTACTAGGAGTCGCTGATATTGATTGGTGACATCTTTTAATTCCCTTTCTAATTTAGGACGTGTCTCCCGTATTTTCCTAAGTTTTAAATAAGTTTCTTGCATTTGAACAAAAGCATCTGCTTTTAGTTTTTCTAAAAACTCTGTTGCGAACTATAATGTATCACAATTATTATTATTTTTATTTTTATTTATTCAATTTCAATTCACAACATAACGAACCTTGTTAAAATCTATCATTTTTTGATATATTTTTTCTTCATTTTCTGCATTGCGTTCCCTTTCCAAAAACCGTTGTTTTGTGGAATAAATGGTAAACTTGTTGCGAGTAATTTCACGTAATATTAAAATATCGCTATTGTAAAATTAATTAATTAAATTAGTCAATTATTTGAAAATAATAATAATAAAATTGTTATATATATATATATAATTTACAAGAAGGTCGATAAAAACCTCCCTATTGAAAACAATAGTTTATATTAAGAATTTAGTTTCTTTTACCAAAATAATATTTTAATGTTGTGAAATAATTGTATTTAGTATAATAATATATTATATGCAATAATAAAAGCTTAGTTGTTAAGAAGAATATACAGTCAAATTTCCAGAACTCGAACTCAATAGAGTGCAACAGGCTCACCTAGCAAATTAAAAACAATTACAAAAAATTTCTTTAACTCAAAGTCTCCACAGGTCTAGTCTTTTCATTGCAAAATGGTACTTCAAGTAGAAGTGTGACTGTATTAATACTACAATTTCTATTCACACCAAAAAGAAAACCTTTCTTAAGACAGTTTAACAAAACCCTAAATCTGTGAGTGTTTTTAAAACTCCAAAAATATCCTCTCTTCCGTACGGATAACACCCATTAAGTATTTCTTCGAAATATCGTTAAGAATATATGTATGACACGAAGCACCTTAAATGTCCCAAAACTTTACTTTTGGATCAGTATAAACGTTCTTTTGAATACGTTCTTGAACATGTTTAATAGAGAGAGAATTTCAAGGCTCTGCACTCGGGTCTAAATAATATTGGTGGATGTCACTACTCCATCATTTATAAGTGGTAGTGATATATTAAACAGTGCAACTTAATCCACTTAAGCAAATGTGAGACACATCGGATTATATTAAACATCGAACGTATAAGTGAGTGAATGACTTTAACATTCAAAAGAAATTTTTCATCGCAAGTAATAGAACCATCTTTCAGCATTTCGTCGGGAGTTCATTGAGAAAATATATATAACACGAACCGACCCAAAAAGCCTTAAACAATTCTTTTAAAGCAACATGAAATATTTCTAAGCGTAGTGCTCAGCATAAACAATGACGTATCCTTAACGATAGAAATCAAATGAAGTCAGTCAATAAGTTATACTTTGCCTATTCACGATTCATAGAATCGAAATTCATAACGAAAAACGATAAGCTACGGATGTACAAAACAATTATCAAGCATATATACATTTATAAATTATCTTTTCACATATGGATTGGAGTATTGCGTTTTGAAGAAAGATGAGAATAATGTACTAATGTAATATAAATGAAAAACTCTTATATAATAAATAGACAGAAAGAAGTATGATATAAAAAATGTGGGATTACTTGATTCGTCAAAACGTAAAATGGTGCTATGAAAATTTTCGATACAAAGCTACAAGGATCTGGAGAAAGAGGTCAACCGCAAAGCAGATGACCAGAAGTAATTAAAAAAAGTCTCAAAAAGAAGATAACCTACCATAGAACGAATGCGGGATATAAACACGAAAACTATACATAGCCTTCTATGTAAACTATTGTTACAAAAATTATAGCCAAAAATACATTTTCATGCTTTTTCCTCTGTGCTTAAAACTCCAATCTGTATACTTTTTCATCTGTGTTCAAAACTCCAGCTTCTAGAGCTTTGTCACAGTCACGGCGTCATAACCATATTATGGTTACAAAACCATGCTCTCAATATATTGTTCAAAATCTGTTTACTTTTTCCTATGCACTCTGCCAACAATCGTATTGTTTTTATTGTAACCCGTGGGCACCTAAAAGCAGATAAAACATGAGGATGTGGATAGGTGATGGTTGAAGGGAGGGGGAGGGGAATAAGGGTGAATCGTATTTATTAAATGTGAATCCTTTTTAAATCGACTGGAACCCTAAATATAAAAATTCTTGAAAATCTTCCTGAATTTTTCAAGCTTTATATATACCCATATATCTTTTAAATAATTTATTATTTAGGAGAAATAAATTATTGTACTTAACCTTTTCATACGAAATTTCTTGATACGCTTGGGCTGTCTAAGATCCTTTAAGTAATCCGGATCAATTGTAGTGACCACACATGGTGCACGCGGATTATTTAAATGTCCTCGCTTAATAAAAAATTGATTTAATTAATTTCTATACTTGAGACATTTTTAAAGTTACTTTACCGCATCGAAATCATTTACAGACAAATTAATCGTTTGCCGCTTTTCAGCATCTTTCCGATCTTCTTCAGTATAAAAATCTGTATTTTCAATTTTATTAGAATAATGTTCATATAAAATGTGATTATTACTAACCCTCTGGTTTCCGATATATCTTCTTCTTACTCTTTTTCATTTTCAAAGACACCATTTTTTTGACAATTGGAAATAATTTTCCTTCAAAAATATATTCTATTATTTACGACACCTCAACGTTGTTAGGCTGAGTAGTTTCTTTGGAAACAAGAATGTAAAAAATACAAAATCTGTCGTTATAAAAATGTTAAATAAAAATATGAGTAGAATTACATTTCATTTTGATTATATATTTATGAAATTTTATTTTGATAGGACAAACTTCAGAATAACTACTTAGTTAAAGTTAAAAATCCATATAAATATTTATATTTATTAGGGCTATGAACACATTGTAAACCGAATTGATTTGAAACTGGAATTTTCTTATATTAAATGTGATTGAACTGAACTACCATCGTTTTGAAAAGTTTGTTTGGGGCTTTTGAAATAGATTACTTTATCAAGATAACGAACATATAAACTGACCCATTTCACATATGATTAACAGCTCTATGATTAACAGAACCTCCATATTACTGGTGTAACTGAATAGATCGACAAACTGAACCATTGCGGCTTTGTAAATTTTATCTGAAACCAGTAGTGTGAAAGCTGGACCAACATAATTTAAACAACAACCAAAAAATGTGAAAATGGTAGTAAAAATATGAAATTACCAATTGCGATATGTCTCTTTGTATGTGGTGGCATCTTGACATCTCAACAAGGTAACGCCATAAATTCATAGGAATCAAATTTGTATGTGCTTTTAGACCTGAAAACTGATAAGGAATGCAGTTACAGTTCTCGCCTACCCTTAATGTAGTAGGCGATGTAGTAGCCAATATAGTAGCGATTATTCATGGTAATTAATTGTTTAGAATTTGGCTATATCCAGATTTCAATTAAACAGTTCTTATTGCATAAGGAAAACGCCGTTTATACTCAAAAATTTTAAATAGAGACCTATTTAGAACTTTGTTGTGCATTCGTTAGATATAGATTTTTAAAAGTGAAATCAATTTAGATTGTTACTAACTATATAGTATATTCACCCAATTCCGATGAATTCAAAAGAAATCTGCTGTACATTCAATTACCAATGTGTGCCCTAACTGCAACTCTATTCCTCCATGATATCTTAAGACATTTCAGCTCGAACGATTATTGGATTCGCCTTATTAAAATTTCTAGGTTTTTCCACTGTGATCCAGATTAAATTTAATTAAAATCTCATTAATCCTCAATCTATTCTGACTTCTAAACAATCCCCTCCTCTTTCACACTACTATCACCTACCCACATCACACGGCATACTATGTCAAACGCTCATATACCTGCTTGTGTGAACCTTTTGGGGGATGTTGAACAACACTTGGTCGTCTTCAACGAGTGGTTCCGGGACATAGGGCCGACTGTTCTTGGAACCCTAACGACACGTGTTAATTTCAATTGTATCCTTCCCTTCTCTGTTTCCCCCCCTACCCTTACCACAAATGCCTCATCCACATCCCAACCCATGTATTCGTCTTGTAATCCTTACGTGTTATCTGCTATTCAGATCCCGGCGGGCTACAACAACAACAACCCACATCCTAACCCATATATTAATTGTTATGCTTGTGATTCAAAATTTGACAGTAGTTAGTTTACTTCTAAATTATATTAATATGTAAACAGATATAGCGACTCCATTTCTTATCAATGGAGTAATTCTACAACCGCAATTTATACTTTGCTATTTATGTGCTATACTATATTTAAGTGTATATAAACTTTAACTATTCTTTCAAATTATTTACTTGTACTTAAAAAAATATATTTTTCTTACAGAGTCTATATGTGCAAACAATGGCAGGATTTGAAAATCTTCAATGAGCACACCGCGTTAGCCACTGGTGTACGATTTGGTAAACATGCGCAATATCTAGCATCGACAAGCATGGATCGAACACTGAAATTATATGCCATCGAATGAAGCCTTTAAATCAAATATTAAACAGAAAATAAAAACACTCCATCAAATCAACTCTTCAGTGAATTAGAATTGCTTAATCCGTTTACATTTATTATTGCATAAATTTATTATTACAACATATCTTCAATGTAAATGATCCACGTATATTAAAATATTCCACGAGTGAATTCTTATTGATAAATAGAAATTACCATTATTATGTTTTTTAAAGTTAATTATTGGTTTATCCCATTATTTAAAAATTAATTAAATATCAATACAATCCTAATTAATTATAAACAATTTTAAATGTATATTTTATCATATTAAGCATGCATGAGCTCTACACAATTCATCCCAATAACACAAATTGTATCCAAATTGACGTCATTGACTTCTTTATTCAAATTTAATTCAATGTAATAAAATAAAAATGTTTAAATTATAATTAAATATATAGTTTTATTAAATTTGCAGGTAAAAAAATATAAATTTTATTTAATATTAAGACGCTGAAGCCACTTGCTTTAATGGTCCTTCTAAGTACGTAGCCAATGCCATTGCTTTTTGTTTCAATAAACCTAAGCCAACTGTCTCTTTGGCATATAAACAAAGCAAAATGCTAGCAACCTACAATGGAAATTAGTTTATATGTAAATATCTGATTATATACAAAATATATATATTAGTAATTAACCTGTGTTATGACAACGTGCCCACAATCGCAATCCAACAAAACATATGTCAGACGATCTTCACGGAATGCATTGCGTCCATGTTTTTCATAGGCAGCCCAAATGTTGCTGGCAATCGCCGCTGTGACACGTGCATCTCGATCACCATAACCAGAATATGCCAATAGAGCACCTTCTTGGCTCAGCAATCTAAATAATAAATCAAACGAAATTTAGTAATAAATAATGTAAATCCAATTGTTTTGATATTTACAAAGTATTTTCCACGCCTCCTGTGTTCGCTTGGCTAAGCACTCGTGTTAGAGCTTTTGGCTTCAACATATCTTTGGAAGAAAATATTTAAATAATATATTAATAAACATTTGATAATATATATATTATTTCTAATAATTCTAATAATATCAATTTTACATCACTACTTTTATTTGAAAAAAAATTGCATTTATGTTGATTGTCATACCTTTCTAAAATGTTTAACAAGAGCTGAAATAATTAAATTTAATATAAATAATTTAATTAATAATATATCAACACCTCCGCTGCACAATAGAACGACAAAAATTACTGATAAATAATTCTCCACCAATGCAAATCAACTCACAAAGTGTATAAAAATGTCTACACTCTGAAAACCATATGATTTTTGTTTATATACAAATCCAATACAAATTGCAGTACAGTGTTACAAAACGTTTTTCCAAAAATTGCACTTAATATATCTAATCCAAAGTCATTTAGTTGCTATTGCCGTGTGCGAGTCGAGTATATTGAAATTTCCTAGAGATTTTTTGCACTGCACTTATTTAGATATTTATTTATTCCACATATTTATTATTTTTGGTTAAAAGTTTTCAAATTTATTTAGTTTTTAAACATCTTATAAAATGTTCACAATGGAAACACCTTAATTTGCAATTTTTATCTAATTTACACTACTCGAAATACCAATTTACCCTACTGGTAAATACCAACGTTCGCTACCATAGCGACATAATTTACTATTTCTCTCAATTTACCATCAATTTACTCGAACTCACACACGGCGTATAGATATTTTTTTTCTCCAGCAAAGGGAAAATAGTCCCTATACTTCACTGGGAGATGAGGATAAGATAGAGAGAGAGAGATGAAAAATATTAAAAACTACAGTGTGAAAATTAAACCCATGTAAATGTAATGAATGTAAAATGAACAAATTTCGGCAATTAGACTATAAAAGTAAAAAAAAAAGCTCCATTCCAGTAATCAAGAAAATAAAACACACAAGACTTATATCAATAGGCTTTAAAAAAATATATAATATATTAACTACTACTTTGGAATGTGAACAAGGTTACTATTAGAACTTTTTTTTCGGCTTAAAAATTTAACATTATTTATAGAGTTTTTATACAAATCTTATAAGCAATCATAATATTAATGGAATCTTACTACTAACTCTCTATAAGCCTAAGATGAAAGTCAACATGTCTAATAGGTTTTCATTTTTAAATATAAATATAAGTATAAGTAAATGAAACTCAGTAAAAATTTACTTATGTTACTTTTTTGTCTGCAAGTAATTAGACAATGGAACGATGAACTTCTCAGTGTTTCTATTATAAGCTATCGAAACTGTTACGAAACGTCTCGTTCTGAGTCTCTTTAGTATTCTCCAATTGGCTAAAGAACTATGTTCAATTTTATCCATTCAATAATATATAAATTTTTTAAGTTTATATCAATTCTTATTCCGAACAGAGCTGCATAGTGGCATAATAATAGTTCCACGATTTTTCTATTATGAATTCCTATGATGAGAGCGCATATCATCTTTACAGTTCCCAAACAAATTAAACGTAATTTAACACATTGTAGGCATCGTCCCTTCTTATCAGTTTAAATTAAAAAAATTTTTTATATTCTCAAGCCGACTAATTGGTCAATCGTATAAATATTACATACCTTTTTACATTATTTTTAAAAAATTAATTTTTAGTATAAATGACTATAAACTGTAGCCAAAAAAAAAATGGTCAAATGAATATATTTTTTTAAAACTAATTTGAGAGATATATTATTAAACCATTTATTGCTTAACAATTTATAAATAAATAACAATAATTTATTAAAATTAGTTTGGTTAATAGGTTTCGAAATTAAATATAATTTCGATTAAATATAATAGTCACTTCCGTCTTAAACTGACAAATTACAACTTAAATTTAAAAACAGTTTTAAATAAATAAAAGAACTGAAAATTTAATTTCAAATCATTTATGTTTTTAAATAATATAAAAATATATGTAAAATATTTGTGCTTTGAAAAATATAATTTTATTAAATTATTCACTATTAATTTAGTCCTTAAAAAAATTTAGTCCAATTTTAAAAATTATATTATTTAAATAATTAAGGAGTTATTGTTTAATAACTTATAAATAAATAACAATAATTTATTAAAAATAATTTTAAATAAATAAAAGAACTAAAAATTTATTTAATATCAAAAAATGATAAAGTAATAAAATAAAAATAAAATAAAAAATAAAATAAATAAAATAAAATAAAAATATATACAAAATATTTGTTCTTTAAAAAATATTATTTTATTAAATTAATTTCTAAAAATTTAGTCCTTAACACAAAAATTTATTAAAAATATTTTTACAAATAAATAAAAAAACTGAAAATGTATTTCATTTTGATTTTATGTACGTATGTATATTTAAATAAAAATACGTACATATATGCAAAATATTTGTTCTTTAAAATACATTATTTTATTTAATTGTTTACATTACTAATTAGGCCATCAACCTAATATTTTTTTATATTAATTAATATTATTTTTATTTGCATATTTTCAATCTATTTTTACAGCTTAAATTTAGTAGATACATAAATACATTGTATGTATTTTGTTAATGACGTCATTTCTATTAAGCATCAAAGCAATTGCGTTTTGAAAATAGGTCAAAAGCAAGAATTGAACATCAAAATTTATAAACAAAAAAAGAGAGAAGCATGAAAATTAGCCTACCCGCAGGGGAAATGTAATTGCAAGGCTAGCAACAACAACAAAACCATATAACGCAATCATTAAACCCACCACCAACACACCACCACACATTCAATGCCAACGCCACTAACTACACCATTGTTAGCACCAGCAGAAATGCAACAGAGCAGGCAGACAGCGTTTGGAATTTACGTTTTACTTTTATTTTATTTATTTTTTTTTTTTGTTAATTCAAATTTTAACAATTTCCGCTTTCGTTTTCATTTTATTACTTCAAGAATTTATTCATTATCAGCTGAAAAATGTTGCATGAATCATGAGTTATGCATAACAACAATTGCTTCTTCTTCTTCTTCTTCTTCTTCTTCTTCTTCTTCTTTTATGAAACTGATTCACTAACAACACATAAAACTGCGCAGTTGTCCATGAAGTTTATGTCGTCACCAGTAAAATAACAGGTCAAGCGGAACGCAGTAGCAACAGTGGCAGCAGCAACAACAACGACCCTAACAACAACAATGAATAATGCATCGTTTAAGTGCTGCACACGTCCATAAAAACGGGAGGAGATTACAAAATTCGTAGTTGAATAAACAGTAAAATTTATGCGATATGATTTCTTTGTGTCCACAACATTCGACTGAGGTTTTTGTGTGAGCTGCACTTGAGACTTTTAGATAGGAATGGAGTGGTGTCCGATAAAACTGGGTTTGTTTATATTAATTACTATTTCTTAACTGTGTTGATAAGGAAAGTGAAAATTTGTTTTTTTTTAAATTAAAACTATTTAAATACATTATTATTTGTATTTCTCTTAATTTATGCTGGCACTCTATATAAAATTTTATAGTTATAATTCAGTATTAATGATAGATCTAAAATCGTCCAATATATAATTCAACTTCTGGTTCGATTCTTTCCTAGTTTATCTAGTTCGCGAACTAATTATAACATTTAGTTAGTTCATTTGAAAGAACTATTAGTTTTGTAGATTGTAAATAAATAGTTATTTTATCATAAAGTTCGGTTTTAATCAGATTAGAATGATCATAGCCATATACCACATAGTCCTATCAACTATCGTGGTAATATAAGGAATCTGTACTTCTCTCATCATATCGTATTAAGCCCAATGTTAAACTTGATCAACTCAATGACAATTTCTATATAATTACGACGAAAGATTTCAATAATGATATCAGTCAAACAGCAAAATTCATTTCAATAAATCGGTTATTAAAAAAGGAAAATATTCGTAGGGTCCTTACCATGTCAAAATTTAATTAAATAATTTTAAAAACAATAATGACTCTAACAGCGATCAAAATACTGAAATTTTAGTAACCTGTTGAATCCAAGAACGTCAATAGACGACTCATGTCTGAAATGGTCAACCTTAAGACTAATGGCACAAACTGTATATTTCATATATGTTGCCAAAAAAACGGACTTTTCACGAACCGAACGTTAAGCTATACGGTTAAACTAACTTACCACAGAAAGAGAGGAGCCTATCAGTAAAATAAAAAAGAAAATCAGTTTTGGTCTTATTGGATCGGCAATATGCTTTCACAGAAACACTTTTGTTACAATTAATTTTCTAAATTTTTCTATATTTTTAAATTATGACAAAGCTTTGTGCATATTAAAGCAAACAGAGTCAAGAGTTATTATTATCTACTGTGAAGGCTTAACACCACGAGGCTCTTAACGTATATATTCGAATAATGTGCCGATAAATGCCACATTGGAATAAAAAAAATTCAGCCGATACCAGTTAAAGTTATACGTTAGCATATAATTTCCTTCTTGCTGGTGTGTGAGGCTTAAGGCTCAGTTAGTCGATACTTATGGTAAGAACCACACCTGTGTATTTGAAAGGAACTAAACTAACAAAAGCATGGAAATTTGTTCCTATCAAATACACAGGTATTAGTTGGTTTGTGCATGTCGCTTTGATACAAGTTCGCCTAAGTTCTTAAGGTACGTACCGACGAACTGAGTCTTTATCTAACACCGCTGCTGTTCTTTAGGTCACAGCACCCAGCTTCACAATAGAATGATGTAAATACTTTGATTTTAACCACAGCCACCACGAAGTCTCATTAAAGGAGTAACCTTTATTAGTCAAGACAACCGAAATTATTGGCCGTAATCCCATGGGTAACAGGTTCACACTACTGGTCGCCTGCTGCAAGTGTGAACTACCGGTCGCCTGCTCCTTTCATCGTCCTCTCCACAACTGCGACAGATATGGTTAAAAGGAGGATTTAGTCTCCTAGCATGATTACCGACCAAAAACATAAGAAACACAAAATTTTTTTTGAGTTAAAGAAGTTTTAAACCAATTTATTAAAAGATATACATGTGATAAGTATTGAAATTTTTTAACATGGCAAATAAAATATATTGAATGAACAATTGTTTTGTATTTTAAACAAGATTTTTTATAATAAATATCGCTGCAATAAATTAAACAAAATATATAAATATAGTTCCATCGAATATTAATGGATTTTGAATATCTTAGATTTTAACTTTAAGCGAATATTATGCGTATTTTATTAAAGTAATCGAGCAGCACATGGACGTGTAAAGATATATACGCACATACTTTTATATAAATATATTATGGTGCGAATTTATGCAATTGTTTTTTTATAATAAATTGAGCTATAAAAATAAATTCTTTTCTTTACCACCGATAATCTCCATTCGAAGTATTGAATATCAACAATGAATCCTTTTAAATTATGAATTATGTTTCACTTATGAATATACAACATTATATGAATCTCGTTATCATTATAAGACTAAGCTGGTCTTCATTGAGTTCGGGAACGCTGCCGTTTTGGTAAATTTTCGAAAGAACTATCTAAACGCGTTTCGTTGATTTCAGAGCGTGGTTTCTTGCGTATACGCAGTGGTACTCTATTAACGAAACGATCTGGTATGCCTGCATCTAGTAAAATTTCGCGATTATATATGTCAAGGTCTTCGTTATAATATGTTATAGCATCCCAGCACATTTCGGAGAGCTTTGGTATAGTCATCCACATTTTATAAAGATCATTGCGACGTCGCATATCCTTCTCACCACACTCTATTCCACCAAATATGTACATGCAACCATTACCAGAATTTGCAGCTGAGTGGAAATATATTGGTCTTGGTAAACGTGCAGTACGTATTAGATACCACTGCTTTGTGGTTATATTTATTTTCCAGATATCAGCAAAATATGTTCTGGAGTCACCCTAAAAAATTTCAAAAAATTTTATTAAGTATATTATTGTTAAAATTGTTAATAATAATTGTTAATTGTTATAATATTGTTAATAATAATAATAAGTATAATAAGCATAGAGAAAAATAGTTTATAATGTAATAGCTTCCACATTCCCAATCACATTCTAACCCATGTGTTTAAAATTATAGGAAATCAGAAGAAACATTTTTTAAAAAAATCTTCCAATTCATATGTTGAATGTTTTCAATTAATAAAAATAGAATCTCACCCTCACTAATATATTAATCCTTCATGATTTTATCATATATAGTAATAATATACCCGTACCTGTAATCCACCGGATATAAAAGCCTCTACATCTCCATTACTTAACGTATGCTGAACGCACGCAAAACATTTTCTTGGTTTAGGATATCCTGATCTTGGATCTGTGTTATTTACAAGCGTTGGATCTGGTAACGTATCATAATATTCCCAACGATTCGTTTTTAGATTAAATGCAGGTATTCTTTCCAAATCATACACCAATTGTGATGTGCCACCACCTAAAACGTATATATGTTTTCCATCATAAACTACTTCATGTCGATAGCGTCCCTCAGGATCGTCACGCATTTCTGGGCGACTGATATACACATTTTCCCAAACTCGTTTTATTAAATGGAGTCGATAAATATCACAGGAATAATCAAAACCAGTCGTTCCTCCAATTGTATATAAATAATCGTTATGTATAACAATTGCTGGTCCATATTGAGCTAAAGGTAAATCGCCTGTCACTTGTAATTTGGTAACAATAGATTTTTGTCCCGTAGAATAAAAATAACAATCATTAGAACAATATTCGCCAAATGGAAATCCCGTACCACCATGACTCTGAAATATAGAAAAAAATAGAGTGTTATAATATATAAAGAATTTAAAAACTTTTACTTATATATATAAAGTAAACACATATGTATTTGTTGAAAGATTTTACCTCAGATATTAATATATATAACATTGAATATTATTGGGTATTACTGAATGGTTTGAGACATTGATTTCAACTCTTTTAAGCAGACAGATAAACTATATGCGTGATAAAAATTTCGTAAATTTTCTCGTTGCATATACGTTTATCTAATTAGACCCAACATCAGTGGTTTATTAACAAGGGTTAACTGCCCTTCAGTGTCTTCTTCGAGACCACATTTCCACTGCAACAAAGGTTTCAACAGGCGTTCGCTTGAAACCTCTATCGGAAAAAAAATATCTTTCTCGTGCAAGATATAATATTATCCTATTAATATGCTGCTGTACTCCATATAACTCACCCATACTCACACCCTTATTCCTTTCTATATGTCATTTAATTGCGAAAAAATTTATTCTCGTCAAGTCCCACATAATCTATCGAATAAACTGTTTAAGGAATATAATGACGGTACTTTAAAAGACGTAAGATTATGAGAGCTGATCATGGATGTATGCACATAAGTCAGAAACTAACCAACAGTCAACTATATGGATATTACATGTTACATCAACTCCTATAGAAGTTACTTAAAACACTTCGAATCAAATGATCGCATGGTGTTTTTTTTTTTTTGGTTGATATAAAGTGATCATATGGCACTTCAGTACATAAAACTATTTCTTTCTTCTTACCTTACCACACACCCCAACTTAAGCCATGTATTCGTCATGTAATACTTTTATATTTTCTACCTATAAGGTTATGATCAATTGTTACTACAGAAATCACAACGCGGGAATGTAAAAATGGATCCACGTTCATTTTGTTAATATTGTTCATACTGGAATAATAATTAGATACTACGATTTTAAATGTACATAATTGTTTAAGCCCAGTGTAAACATGCGGTAAAAAAACGCGTTTGTACGCTTAATGGTTGTAAGATACATTAGATAATATTTAACGATGCAGACTAGCCAGAGTGCACGTGCGTTTTTTTTTTTGGCGTAAGCGTACATTAGGCTTTAAATTACATTTTTTGAGTTCTTTCGAAATGATTATATTTTAATAGAAAAAAGAAAACTCTATGCTAAGTGGTTGTAAGATACAATGAGTCGTATTGAGCAGTGCGGATAGTAGTCTACGGGTACGCGCGTGCACGTGCGTTTTTTACCGTAAGTGTACATTGGACCTTTAAATACATTTTTGTAGTTCTTTAGAAATGATTATATTTTAATAGAAGGAAGAAAACTCTAAGCTAAGTGATTGTAAGATACATTGGAGAATATTGAGTAATACAGACTAGCCAGCGTCCAAGTGCGTTTTTTGTCGTAAGCACGCATTAGACCTTAAAATATATTTTTTGAATTATTTTAAAATGATTGCATTTTAATAGAAGAAAGAAAACTTTAAACTAAGCAATTGAAAGATACATCGGATCATATTGAGCAATGCAGACTAGCCAGCAAGCACGCAGCGTGCACGTGCGTTTTTTTACCGCAAATTTGAGGCGGGCGTTAAAATACATTTTTTGAGTTCTTTCGAAATGATTATATTTAAATAGAAGGAAGAAACTCTAAGTCGAGCAGTTGTAAGATACATCGGATCATATTGAGCAGTGCAGACTAGCCAGCAAGCACGCAGCGTGCACGTGCGTTTTTTTTTACCGCAAGTTTGAGGCGGGCGTTAAAATACATTTTTTGAGTTCTTTCGAAATGATTATATTTAAATAGAAGGAAGAAACTCTAAGTCGAGCAGTTGTAAGATACATCGGATCATATTGAGCAGTGCAGACTAGCCAGCAAGCACGCAGCGTGCACGTGCGTTTTTTTTACCGCAAGTTTGAGGCAGGCGTTAAAATACATTTTTTGAGTTCTTTCGAAATAATTATATTTAAATAGAAGGAAGAAACTCTAAGTCGAGCGGTTGTAAGATACATTGGATCATATTGAACAGTGCACACTAGTCTGCGGGCTGCAGCGTGCATGTGCGTTTTTTTTGCCGCAAGAATGTAACGTACGTTAAAATACATTTTTTGAACTTATTTTGATATGATTCAAAATAAATGATACTGAAATGATATTTCAATAGAAGAAAGAATATTCACTGACTAAAATTTTTTCTTCCGTTAAAAAACTGGCAAACATTGGGTTTCATAATTTCTCAAAGTCAATGTTCAGAAAATCACCTTCACACATTTTTTTGTTTTTATTGCACAAATTTAGTGAATAAGAAATGCAATTCGTAATAATGAACAATATTTTGATGTTGTTAGCATTTAATGGTTAAGCGCTATTAATTCAACAAACAACAGCGAAGAGCCCAACTAAACGCACGACCCACGGCTCACGGCCCAGAGACGCAATAGTTGGCGCTGTTGCTTGCTAATAATAAAAACAAAAACAAACACAAACATGAAACGAATAAAGAAAAACCTGGTCAATTTCAAGGCGAATTAAATCAAAACCTTCTCTAGCAGGGGGGACAAATATTTGTTAATCGAACTGCAGGGGAGAGGAATTAAAGAAAACAAGTTGCTGTTGTTTGGATTTCAAGTTTGTTTTATGGCACAATTTAACGGATTTCGCAGGAAGAAAGCGTAAAACGGATCAAAAGGCAACTTTTTTCTATTGGCAAATTCCTCTTCACCAACAACCTGGCAACACAACAACACAAACAAGGCGAGTTGAGTTTGCAGCTGCTTTTTCTTGTGCCTATTTCTACGTGCATTGGTTTTGTTGCTGCCGTTGTTGTTGTAGTTGGTTGTAGTCAGTGTTGACCTTTTCTGTTTAGAAAACGTAAACAAAACGTGTAAAAAAAACATACTGAACATGTAATACGCAAAAGCAGCAAATCAAACATGAATAACAACGACGCGAACTGCTGCTATGGGGAAAAATAGCACGGAAGATGCATAAAAACTGTATGGTAGGTAACAAGGTAAGTGAGGAGGAGAGAAGAACTTATTTATGCTTTGTTGCATTTCTACAAATAACGCTTTTTTGTTTTTCTTTTTTTTTTTTTTTTTGTATGAAAACTATTAATTACCTTTTTTTTCTTTTTTTACAATTTTTATTGAAACGTAAACAATGTAACTCGTTGAGAGGCAATGATGTTTGTTTATTGAGAATTTGGGGTTCTACATATGGTAAAGCAATGGAACAATGGTTGTTTCCTTCTAAATAAACTTTTATTTATAAAATTTTTTTATATTAATTTTTAAATGTTCATAATTAAAGTGATCATAGTGTAGTAATAAACTCAAGGCAAAATAATAATCTGTTTCCAATAGGAAATTAGAAACTATAGCTTTCTACACTATCTCCAAAAGGCAACTGTTGATAATTACCCAAACATTTGATTAGAGTGACGTCTTTGTGCTCAAAGTCCACTTGAGCTCAAAAAAAAGCACGTTGAGGTATCACGAATAAGCGTTATTTATATGCAGATTAAAGGGATTCCCGAAAGAATCGCAGTGTAACTTAATAACATATAATTTGTTTGTAGAGTGGAACACTACGAAGTTTTGGTACAATCCAAAACATGGGTCAGTTCAGCTGGTAGCAATATCATCCCTGACACTATACATGCCGGCACTGATTCTGATGCTTATCACGAGAGTGATTTGTTGCCTTCTAAGATTATACCCAACAAGGGATAACGCCGAAACAAGCGACTCTCCCATATAAGTAAAAATGAACCAACATAATAAATTTGTATAACTTGATCAAGTCTCCAACTTTGCAGGAGGACAGCTGTTAGATCGGTAAGAAAAGGTACCCAAAAGATTTTAAATCTTCTTCTAACCAGTCATGGATATTGATACATGCGATGGAAAACAGTTTTCTCCTCATTTGTAGTTCCACAACCACAACAAAGGTCATTACAGGTTATACGCAGTCTCAAAGGATGTCTTCATAGTACGAAGTGACCCGTCAGCAACGATACAGTAACGCTAAGCAGATTACGCCTTAGTTGAAACAGATGACTATTAAGTTTTTTATCTGGTTTGAACCAGATCGATCTTGAGATCAAACAAAAGGTTAATCTACCTTATTTTGTTTAGCTTTGTTTTGCTTTGGTTTGGACCAGATCGATCTTGAGATCAAACAAAAGTGTTAATCTACATTATTTTTTTTAGCTTTGTTTTGTTTTGATTTGGACTAGATTGATCGATTTTGTTTAGCTTTGTTTTTTTTTACTTAACATACTTAACTATTAAAAATATAATAAAAAGTTATTCTCTACGTGTTAAAACACCAATCGATATCTATAAATCTATGACACTTCTTCAAACAAGCAGAAATGAAGTGAAAGGTAAGATAAGATTAAACAAATCTGGTCATCTATTAGTTCAAAAGTTAACTTAGAAAACAAGGTTATAATTTATAATTTAATCATAAAACCCATATGATCCTATGTCTTTGAACTATGGAGCTCCTTCATAGTGCTTGAAATGCTCATTAAATATCGAGATAGCATAAAGAGTATAAATATAAAATAAACTACTTAGATAAATAAGTTCTGCTTCATGGGTGCGGTAGAAAGTGATACCAATCGACTCTGTCATGGGGAGAAGGAAACATCAGAACATATTCTATGCAACTGCCCAACGACGAAAAGATGTAGACTTAACTCTTGGAAGCGGTAACTTGGTCCTAAATCAAATAGGTAAAATTAAACCCACAGCAAACACGAGATTTATAAATAGTCTAGAATTGTTTTAGTTGAAAAAAACTCCATCCAAAACTAATTAGCTTGATTAGAACCTAAATTGAGAATATTATAGCTTTGTCATTGGTCATTAAAAGCATGCACAAAGGCTTGGAGTTCTACTTGACGATCTTTTCCTAACATGAAGTAGAGAAAAAAATTATTAACTTCTTATCTATAATGCAAATGTTTAGTCATGTCCTAGTCAAGGTACAATTGTTGGATCCTATTTTGAGAATTAAAAATTACAAAACAAATCATAGTTTTTTAATAAAAATAAGTAGAAGTTAAGTTATTGCCTTTGATGTGACAGTTTTGTCAGGTTGTCCTAACTAACTAGCAATTGGGTTTACAATAAGATGATCTGTCTATAAACACATTTTTTTAATATATCTTTTCTATTTTAAAAACCACTCTGTAGTCTGGAAACCCAGTTTAGATCCTTCTGCCTGTTCAGTTTGGAAGCAAAATAAGGCATATTTGAATATTTTTTTTCACTGGTGAGTAGTGAGTATCATCACTACTCTACAATCGGGTAAGTAAAAATATGTATTAAACAATAATTAATGTACATTTATATAATCAAATATCATGTCTATTTCTATCAGATAATTTTTCCTGTCATCTGTAGAAGTGCGACTCTTAGAAAAAGAGAACAAAAAAATAAAAGATAAAACAAATTAAAAAATAAATAAATAAAAGGGAATAAACAAAATAAGAATGTATAAAATAATTCAAATCAAAGTGAATAACAAAAATTAAAAAATAAAGTATATAAATTATTAATTTGCTTAAGTAACTTTAAACTTTTCTTTGTTCTATCGTCTATATTAGATAAGGGCAACTTCAACTGAAAGATATGATATATGTATGTACAATATATAGCCACGTGTGTAATTTAATTAATATATGTATTACAATATATAGTATTCTACTTACAATTAATACATTTTTGTATATGGTCAAAGCATTTGAAGCCAACTCGGTAGGCATGCCTGAAGTGGTGCGTGCGTCTAGTACGAGACTCCATTTATTGGCAGCAAAATTATAAGCCCAAAGTTCTTGAAACAGCAGACAACGACCACGTCTCCTGGCTGAATTAGCCGTGCGTGGATTATAACCACCCAATGAGTATAGATTTGATTCTGAAGCGATAACACGGTGACCACTCCTCGCTAACGGATAACCACCCATTGCATTACGATTTCTGAAGTAACGCTTTGTGAGACGATATGGTTGAAAGGTGTACATTTTTTTTGGACGAGATGTATTATACTGTGCGAGACCTTGAAGTGAACGCAATGGCAACATGGCCCCCCTCATTGAATCATCACTATCGGATGAGTTGGACGAAGTCCAGTCAACCTCTTTGGGGTTCTACATATGGTAAAGCAATGGAACAATGGTTGTTTCCTTCTAAATAAACTTTTATTTATAAAATTTTTTTATATTAATTTTTAAATGTTCATAATTAAAGTGATCATAGTGTAGTAATAAACTCAAGGCAAAATAATAATCTGTTTCCAATAGGAAATTAGAAACTATAGCTTTCTTCACTATCTCCAAAAGGCAACTGTTGATAATTACCTAAAGATTTGATTGGAGTGGCGTCTTTGTGCTCAAAGTCCACTTGAGCTCAAAAAAAAGCACGTTGAGGTATCACGAATAAGCGTTATTTATATGCAGATTAAAGGGATTCCCGAAAGAATCGCAGTGTAACTTAATAACATATAATTTGTTTGTAGAGTGGAACACTACGAAGTTTTGGTACAATCCAAAACATGGGTCAGTTCAGCTGGTAGCAATATCATCCCTGACACTATACATGCCGGCACTGATTCTGATGCTTATCACGAGAGTGATTTGTTGCCTTCTAAGATTATACCCAACAAGGGATAACGCCGAAACAAGCGACTCTCCCATATAAGTAAAAATGAACCAACATAATAAATTTGTATAACTTGATCAAGTCTCCAACTTTGCAGGAGGACAGCTGTTAGATCGGTAAGAAAAGGTACCCAAAAGATTTTAAATCTTCTTCTAACCAGTCATGGATATTGATACATGCGATGGAAAACAGTTTTCTCCTCATTTGTAGTTCCACAACCACAACAAAGGTCATTACAGGTTATACGCAGTCTCAAAGGATGTCTTCATAGTACGAAGTGACCCGTCAGCAACGATACAGTAACGCTAAGCAGATTACGCCTTAGTTGAAACAGATGACTATTAAGTTTTTTATCTGGTTTGAACCAGATCGATCTTGAGATCAAACAAAAGGTTAATCTACCTTATTTTGTTTAGCTTTGTTTTGCTTTGGTTTGGACCAGATCGATCTTGAGATCAAACAAAAGTGTTAATCTACATTATTTTTTTTAGCTTTGTTTTGTTTTGATTTGGACTAGATTGATCGATTTTGTTTAGCTTTGTTTTTTTTTACTTAACATACTTAACTATTAAAAATATAATAAAAAGTTATTCTCTACGTGTTAAAACACCAATCGATATCTATAAATCTATGACACTTCTTCAAACAAGCAGAAATGAAGTGAAAGGTAAGATAAGATTAAACAAATCTGGTCATCTATTAGTTCAAAAGTTAACTTAGAAAACAAGGTTATAATTTATAATTTAATCATAAAACCCATATGATCCTATGTCTTTGAACTATGGAGCTCCTTCATAGTGCTTGAAATGCTCATTAAATATCGAGATAGCATAAAGAGTATAAATATAAAATAAACTACTTAGATAAATAAGTTCTGCTTCATGGGTGCGGTAGAAAGTGATACCAATCGACTCTGTCATGGGGAGAAGGAAACATCAGAACATATTCTATGCAACTGCCCAACGACGAAAAGATGTAGACTTAACTCTTGGAAGCGGTAACTTGGTCCTAAATCAAATAGGTAAAATTAAACCCACAGCAAACACGAGATTTATAAATAGTCTAGAATTGTTTTAGTTGAAAAAAACTCCATCCAAAACTAATTAGCTTGATTAGAACCTAAATTGAGAATATTATAGCTTTGTCATTGGTCATTAAAAGCATGCACAAAGGCTTGGAGTTCTACTTGACGATCTTTTCCTAACATGAAGTAGAGAAAAAAATTATTAACTTCTTATCTATAATGCAAATGTTTAGTCATGTCCTAGTCAAGGTACAATTGTTGGATCCTATTTTGAGAATTAAAAATTACAAAACAAATCATAGTTTTTTAATAAAAATAAGTAGAAGTTAAGTTATTGCCTTTGATGTGACAGTTTTGTCAGGTTGTCCTAACTAACTAGCAATTGGGTTTACAATAAGATGATCTGTCTATAAACACATTTTTTTAATATATCTTTTCTATTTTAAAAACCACTCTGTAGTCTGGAAACCCAGTTTAGATCCTTCTGCCTGTTCAGTTTGGAAGCAAAATAAGGCATATTTGAATATTTTTTTTCACTGGTGAGTAGTGAGTATCATCACTACTCTACAATCGGGTAAGTAAAAATATGTATTAAACAATAATTAATGTACATTTATATAATCAAATATCATGTCTATTTCTATCAGATAATTTTTCCTGTCATCTGTAGAAGTGCGACTCTTAGAAAAAGAGAACAAAAAAATAAAAGATAAAACAAATTAAAAAATAAATAAATAAAAGGGAATAAACAAAATAAGAATGTATAAAATAATTCAAATCAAAGTGAATAACAAAAATTAAAAAATAAAGTATATAAATTATTAATTTGCTTAAGTAACTTTAAACTTTTCTTTGTTCTATCGTCTATATTAGATAAGGGCAACTTCAACTGAAAGATATGATATATGTATGTACAATATATAGCCACGTGTGTAATTTAATTAATATATGTATTACAATATATAGTATTCTACTTACAATTAATACATTTTTGTATATGGTCAAAGCATTTGAAGCCAACTCGGTAGGCATGCCTGAAGTGGTGCGTGCGTCTAGTACGAGACTCCATTTATTGGCAGCAAAATTATAAGCCCAAAGTTCTTGAAACAGCAGACAACGACCACGTCTCCTGGCTGAATTAGCCGTGCGTGGATTATAACCACCCAATGAGTATAGATTTGATTCTGAAGCGATAACACGGTGACCACTCCTCGCTAACGGATAACCACCCATTGCATTACGATTTCTGAAGTAACGCTTTGTGAGACGATATGGTTGAAAGGTGTACATTTTTTTTGGACGAGATGTATTATACTGTGCGAGACCTTGAAGTGAACGCAATGGCAACATGGCCCCCCTCATTGAATCATCACTATCGGATGAGTTGGACGAAGTCCAGTCAACCTCTTCGGCGCTAGAATAAATCTCATCATCCATATTAACATCTTCCACTATTATTGGTTGGTCGGGGTCAATATCATCGATGACGCGCTGACGAACGAGTCCTTGAACTAGCTCGTTATCCTCATCCATTATTGTCTTCAATATTCTACGAAATGTTCTTAAACTTTGCTGTGTTCTATAAATATAGTTTTCGGAGATTTCACAAAAGCTTATAAAAAAATCTATGCATATATTCAGAAAAAATTTTGATAAACTAAATATTTTCATTACAAAATGAAAAAACTTTTGATTTGACTTCTTCGGTTCTACAATGTTGAGTTCACAGTAAATTTAGTAAATTTCTTTAATTTTTCAATTTTACAATTTCATAATTTTTATTATTTAAAACTAAAACTTAAATTTTGCATTTAATTATTGTTTTGTTACTTCCATTAAATTTTTTTACAATTTTACGATTACGATTTTTTTTCTTATTGAACTAAAGCAATGCGACCTCCTAGAGCAGCTGACGAACTGTTTTATTTTCTGTCATTTTGTTAAATTTTGACGTTTTTGCTGTGGCAACTCATTTCGTTATTGAATTTATTTATTTTATTATTTCATTTTGTTTAAATTGTTCAAATGCATGCGATCAATTATTGGAGCTACACTTCGTCAAATTTTTCACAAAAATCCATTTTCAGATTTTCTATTAAACAATATGGAATTTTTTTTTTTTTTTTTGCACAAGGCGCGCCTTTTTTATAGAATTTTTATTGTTCTAATTTTATTTATTTTAAAATAAACAAATTCCTCTCTAACATTTCGACTTGCCGAGCTTCGACGGATTTGTACAGTGAATTTATAGTTCAAGAACAGAAATACTTTTAATACGTCATACGCCTTTCACTTCGCAATGAGATTCTATTACGTTGCTGATTTACCATCTTTGCTGGGGAAATGAACACAAACACATTCCCCTCACGGGGTAAAAAATATTTTATTTATGTTTTGGGTTATCAGCGTTTTGTTTTGCTCTACATTTTTTACGCACAGCGATGCCATTTTATTCGATTATTTAAACATTTTTTGCAAGCACTTATGCACAGCGTACGTTCAGTGATTGTGAATTAGAACAGATCCTATATAAGGTGTATTCTTTTGATATGAATGCTCCTATAGCAAGCAAAAACAAAATTCGCAAGAATAAGCCAACTTTCCTGAAACTGCTTAATATGGCATTTACACTGGCCGAAAATGACTCATTTTGGTCAAAAATCGAAAATGAGAAGCGAATGCTCATTCTTGCATACAAAATTGAGCCATTCCATCACATTCTGTATGAATGCGTCTCAAAGATGTTCGCATGCGTTCCAAATGCAAAGGAATATATTGAACATACCCTAAATAAAAACTCTTCATGGCATTTTGACAGTTTGAGAAAGCTGTTCTTGACATATTTGCAAAAAAAATTATATTATAATTAAATACATTTTATATTATAAATTTATATACATTTTATATATCAATTACATATTCTATTAATAAAAACAAATATTTTATTAAATACTTTCTTTCTCAGTGCCCTTGTTTACAGCTCAACTGTTATTTGTTCACATTTTACATATAAAACATATGACACATATATCAAATTTTGTTCATTTCCCTTATGGGTAATTTATTTATAAGGGTTACATTCGACATTTTTCGCCTTAAACCAGCTGATTTATGAGCTCATTTATATATAAAAGACTTTTGTATGGTAAATTATCCTTATTAGTGCGTATAATGAGCAAAACTGCCTAAAGGAGACAGTGTGAATGTGCTCTACTTAAACAGAAACGAAATGAAAATTTGTCTCAAATCTAAAGTGCAATTAGACCGTAAGTATGCAGCTGATTTTATTTATATTTGAATAATATTGAAAACTGAAGACAATTTTTGTTAGTGACATTAGGGTTACCATTACGATTATGCACTAGTTACTGACAAAAGTCAGTTTAATTTTGCAGTGTTTGACCAGTTTTGATTGTGTATTATGGTTGAACAGAGCAAAGATAATAAATTTATTTTCCGAGAAGATTGCAATCTGTTGGGTAAGTAAATTTGTTTCTTAGATCAAAACTTTGATATAGAAGTCACTGGAGGACAGATCACTGATTCTCGCAAGGATAAATATTTCCTTATGTCCTATTGAGCATTCACATTAAATATTTAAGATTATTATGATATTTTACAGAAGATCCTTCCTTACAGAATTATGAGAGCGAAAGTTATGAATAATAAAATTCTACAATATTCTTATAAGCTGATAATTTTCTAATTTGACTGGTAATCAAAACTTGTAAGTCGATGATGAAGAACATCTTCTCTGTTTTTTGAAAATTAGGGAAAAACATCCAACTCTAATAACTTTAGTGAGCTATATATTTTTGAAAATTAGGGAAAAACATCCAACTCTAATAACTTTAGTGAGCTATATATATATATTGCATATATCTTATAATTGCTATTTTAATAAAATTTACTCCTTAACATATATATATATACTATATTTGGAAATAAAGTCTGGTTCGCCTTTCTTGTGAATAGTGAAACTTCAGCTTGTGTGTGCTAAGCAAAAATTTAATAGAATCTTCTCTATAATAGTACATCTTTAGAAAACCAGTTAGAACCACAGGTTTAAGTAAATACGTATATTTTTACAATTGCTGTTTTAATCAAATTTAGTCCTTAACATAATTAGACTATATATTTATTTCTGTATAGATTCTATAAATCTGTTCCATTATTCCTAAGGAATGTAAGTGTTGTTAGTAATTCCTTATCATCGACATCTTTCCAGGTTGTAAAGGGCAAATTATGAGTAAAGAATTTAAGAGAAAAAACCTAATTGATTAAATACTACACAAATCGATTCAATTTCCAATTCTACACTACATATGTTAATCTAGAAAATACTAATACATCCCGGCATATGTAGCACAGAGATGGCGAAGTTGTACCATTAATTTTTAAGAGCACAACATTTTTATTATTAACCATCCGGGATGAAAATTTACTAAGTGCCTAATAACAAATGTCTTGGATGTCATATTAGATCACATAATAGACCTACCAGGTCACGATAACCTTCATTATACTAATTAACAGATAGCTAAAGGTTAGCTGTGATAAGTTAGAAGTATTAAATACATTAAAATTTAATGTTCTACTACAATGAAGTAAATATAAATAAAAATGGATATATTGGAAATGGAAATATAATTGTAAAAACATTGTGAAGTTACGAATAATAGTAAATGCGATAAAAGCTTGGAGGACTCTTCTTTAGACAGTTAAAGAGCTTATAAAATTTTTTAAAATTCTAATTATAGCGCGGCTTGCATTTTGTAGTAGTTTAGCTTGCTATTGTCTCAAAAACAGAGTTCCATTAAGAAATAAGTATAGATAATGTGCAGAGCAAAACCTTAAACTTTGTTCAAAGAACAAATGCCTTTTTAAGCGTCTTTTTCCTCAAAAATGTTACTGATATCCAATTAGGTAAACTCAACTGCGAAAGTAAAACCTACCGAGAATTCAAAGAACTAACGCCTAGGCGATTGACGTACCTTAAAGTTTAATAATTTAAAATTAAACTCAGTGGAAAAAGCCTTCAGTATGCTTTGTTATCTATAAAAAAAATATATTAAAAATTTTATATGAGAAGTAACTCAACAACTCCAACTTACCTTTGGAACAATAGAATCATTTAATTTAACCACGTAACATGGATTGCAAAAATTGTTTCGCAAAAGTGATTATAATCATTTTCATTTTGTATATAATAATAATAACAATTTATATTAATTCCTGGGAATGTATATATGATAAAAGTTCTAGACCAATCATTATATTCCCTTAACTATACAAGTGCAATGCAATTGGCCATCAGATCTGACTGACCTATGTGATTCCCTTATTAATTTCCAATTATCGTATTTATACAAAATAATTGTTTTTGTGTTGATAAATCGATAACAAATTAATTGATGTGCTTTATAAGTTATAAAAGAATTACAAATTATTTTCAGCAATTAATTCTGCAACACACCAAATAAAAACGATTTTTATTTTTCAAAACAAGTTTTTTGACTATTCACAATAGAAATCAGCTGAGAGCACAGGGAGCACCAATTAATTTGCTTATTTTTTTTAAGCAAATTGTGGAGTCTTTTTGTGTAATACACAAATTTTTTTATACAGAATTAATCAAATATTTGCCGTTAAAAAAATAATTTCAGGTAAATGTTTTTTAAATGTTTTTTAAAAATATATAAAAATTAATAAAATTGTTATTAATATAAAATTTTATTAAATAATTTCTTTTAAAATTAGTTTATAAGTAATGTGTAAAAAAATACAATATCCAGTAAAGAATTTTATAATTCTAACATGAAGTTTCAAAATAAATCTATTAATTGGTTTTAGTGAGTTATACCTTTATTTATAGATCATTAAAATATTTTAAAATATATATGCGGAATATATACATGTTAACTTTATATATTTAGAATATATTTGTGTGAGGTTAGGCTTTTGTTATTACCCACTAAAATCTTTTGGCCATCGTTATCATTGTGCTAATCTAAAACAGATTTCATCTTCCCTTAAGGCCATCCAGGTTATGCCAGAAATACAAGTTAATGGAATTAGTTAAAATATATGAAACCATTTTAATAATATTCATAGACCCTAAGTTGTATATTTTAAATATATTTGTATTCAGAAGAGTGTAGGTTTGGTTTTTACGGTATATAGGTACCATATAGTATAACATAGGTTTAGTTTATTCAATGTTGGCCAACCTTACCATTGTCTTAATCTACATGAGAATTCACAACATCGTAGAAACTTTCTAGTTTTGTCACAAATCAAAGTTAATGGGAATCTGCTGAATCTGTAGAACTCTATTAAAAATATTTATAGACACTAAGTTTTTCTAAAAAATATGTGTCTAGCATGTTTGATCTATGTTGCGCATGCACTAGATATTGATAAAACACATGTAAAGCAATTTCTTCGTTTTCCTCACATCTAAGAAAAGAACTATTAAAGGAAAAATTCAATCCAATAACATGGTTTCTAACTGATCATGACTCGTTTGCAGAACATAATAAATGTACAAAATATCTAGCAAATTGAACTATAAAATAGATTTCATTATCCCTTGGAAATATCTGGTTTCGTTTCTAACATAGGTTAATGGGACTATTTTAAATCTGTTAAATCTTTTTAAAAAAGTTTGAATATATATAGTTTTAGAAAATAAAAAGTTGCGTATTCTGAGATACAAAACAAATATAAACCCCTCTATTCTGTTTCCTTGCCGCTGTAGCAATAATATTAATTGAAAT